GGGAGGGGCGGGGAGGGGAGGGAGGGGCGGGGAGGGAGGGAGGGGCGGGGAGGGGAAGGATGGAGAGGAGAAGGGGGAGGGGAGAGAGGCGGTCAGCCCTCCCAGTCTCTTGGCCTTGCGGGTGCCTTGGACTATCACAGTCTCCGAAGCCTTAAGTGATGAAGTCACTCGCTCCTTTGGGGACATTAAACAATATGAACGTCCCCCAGGCTGGGAGGCTGTCTGTCCCTTCTGCCTATCCTATGAAGCCCAGCTCAAGTACCCACTCCTCTCAGAAGTCTTCCAGGACATTTCCAAACCTCCCCCAATCTTTCCCTTTCCAGAGTGCCATCGGTATTCGTTGTCTGTCTGTCCCATAAAGATTGTCACGCAGATTACACCGGCATGCACACCAATCTAACAACAAATAGTGAATGGCCTCTTGGAAAGAGAAAGAGAGAAAGGACGACAGACATGGGTTCAAAGCTTGCCCTGCCAATAGTGGACTGGACAATATTTAACAACCAGCTCCCATAAAAAAACTTTTTTAAGTTTAACCTGTGTTATTAACATATCCTCCATCTCTTAAGTCTAGACAATCAACAAAACAATAAATCAATACCTAATTTGGTAGTTTGCTGATTTCTGAGGTATAACTCTTCACATTGAAAATTTCATAATCAGCTCTTGGACTCATTTGAGATGACTCCCCATACAAACTGTCATTATCACTCTGGGCAAGTTATTTAACCATCCAATGTTCTCTAGGCCATTCTTTAAGACAATAATAAATTATAGACAAGGTGACCTGCTGGTAGAGGGAGTTCCCATGTTCAGAAATTCTCTATATAAAAGAAATCACAGATCTAGTCACTACTCTGTAATGAACCAGGCACTGTGCTAGGAAAAGGGTTACAAATTGAAATATCAAATAATCCCTGCCCTCCAGATACTATCTGTTATTATTATTACACAAGTCTTTCCATATTTCTCTGAAATCTGTCACATTCCTCGTTTCTTAAGGTGCAATGAAGTCCCATTGCATTTTTATAACACAATTTGTTCTATCGTTGCCCAATTGATGAACACTCATTTTGTTTCCAATTTTTTGCCACGACAAAATGTCTTGCTGTAAATATATCAGTCCTTCCCATGTGATTTAGAGCTAGAAGGGATTGAAACATTTACAAAAGTCACAGAGGATGAGAAAGCCTGGAAAGCAGTCCGCACTGATTGATGTAACATCCACGTGGTTGAGATCTCAGGCACATTGAACCAGTAATAGCTCACATTTATATAGCACTTTAAGGTTCACAGAGGTTACAACATGATTAGTTGTATTTTGGTCCAAAGAAGAAGCATTGCTTTTCTCACTGAACCCTTCCCTAAAAATAGCTCCAAACATCGCTAACATACACACTTTTTTATTTGGTAAATGCCCCCTTGCCAAAGGGCTCATAGCATTGCTTAAGCAATTAAAAGTAAATTGTAATTGTATCTGACACACAAGCCTTCATAATGGCACCATTAGGTTGATAGTATTACTGTTATAACTTAGCTCCATTTAGATTCCCACTCAGTTCATAAATTTTATTTTGTTTGTACTGGCCATAAATATAATGATAATAGTACCTTACACTTGTATTGGGTTTTACAGTTTTCAAAGGACTTTCATCAACTCTATTGCTTTCCATGAGATGGAATACTGCCAGACTTTACCATCTTCTCTGCCACGGCGTCCTAAGATTCTCCAGATCTTACCATCTGCCTCTCCTTCAAACCCATCTACTACTCCTCTCACTTTTCTTCCCCCTTCTTGGCTTCTTTTTATGTGTTACCTTCCCCTATTAGATTGTGAGCTCCTTAAGGAGAGGTACTATCTCATATAAGCCTTTCTTTGTATCCCCAGTGCTTAACACAGTGCCTGGTACATGGTAGGTGCTTAATAAATGTTTATTGACTCTGATTGAGCACCCAATGTGTAATTCAGTATGTTGTAATATATCTATGAGGAGTTGCAAAGGAAAGGGAGAATATAATTTCATTGTACATAGTAAGTATTAGCTAATATTATCATCTCTATAACTATTGTATGACATATTGCTATATAACATATCAATATCATAATAGTATGTAATTGATGGCATTATTATAATATTATAGTGTAATACAGAATTATAATGTTTTATAATATTATTATCATAATCTATGTAACTAATATCCCTTGTGAATCTGTGACTTTTTTCTGAAGTAGACACTTAATGATCAGCCTCTTTTAGTATCCAATTGTGAACAAACTTGAATAGCTTAAGTTTAAATTCCCCGTCCTGAAATAAGCAACAGGAACCTTACAAGAAGAAATATTTTTTTAAAAGTGCTAAAAAAAAAAACTTCAGGTCACTTCTAGAAAGGAAGAAAGTATGAACTGAGATCTAGCAAAGGAGTGGGCAACTTTAATCCCTTCCCAGGGAAGGTATCTATTTATCCACATGACTAACTCTAAACATTTATTTTTTCTTATGTAATAGGGCTTATTTTCTCATGTCATAGGGCTCTGGAGCATGTGCATATTGTTATGAATGAAAAGTCTGAAAGACAGAGTTTCTGAGTAATTAATAATTAATTTATTCATTAGGCTAGCAAATAATCGACAAATTGATGGTCAGTGATCTGTCTCAGGAACCAAAGACAAAACCGTGGAGATCCCTAAATGCTTAAATACCTTTGGAAAAGGAAGTGCCCTTGACAGGTGAAAATCAACCCTCATTGGTAAGCAATTAATGAGGGGGTGGGCTAAAAGTCTTCAGCTCCTACTGAGAATGTGACTTGATCATGAAATTCAGCTACCTCCAGCAATGTTTTTTTTTCCTTCATCAGCTGGGTCACCCTAAATTCTAATGGAGGGTTCCAAGGACAAGGGGCTCATTTCCTTGGGGCAAAAATTTGCCTAGGTCTTCTAGTTTAGTGGAGTCCTGCCCAAGATCAAGGAGCATGTACCCCAAGGATTTGGGCAATCTCATCTATCAGCAATGACCCTCAGAGACTGACTGAATGACCTGCAAGAGCTGATCCCTGAATGAGGAATTAAAAAGGGAAAATCTCAATCCTAATTCAATAATTGGTTATAAATAGAAAAATAATCATTTCTCTCCATATGTCATTAGTTTGCTAAGATGGCATCATCCATGTGGAGGACGCTAGGAAGCTAATTCTGGAAGAATCGTGGTGATTGGAGATTGTGTGGACATTTTGCAACTGACTCCATTTGGGGTCATGGCTGAGAGTCCAGCTGTGTCACTGGAACTGCTGACATCTTTAAAAGGGCGCGAGTCAGCACCAGCCCCGGCTTTAGCTGCATTTATATCTGAGGGAGCATAGTGGCACTGTTAACAGACTGTAGTGAGACAGTCATGCTGTAAAGGGAAGTACAAGAATTATAGGTCCCTTCCCTTAAGCCTCAAGTCATATGGGCCCCAGGGTACCTGAGAGGTTTTGGGGGAGAGTATGAATACAACAGGCCTAACCCTGAGAGACTGGGACCAGAGTCAACCATGTTACATTTATACATTTATTATATTTTACCAATTTTAAGTCAGGGAAGAAAACAGTCCTCCAACTCTAATTTGAAGATACAAATATTATAATGTCAATATTGTACAGTCATTACTTAACCAATCTCTTAACCAATAGGGTTTTAAATTTAGTACTGCGGTTGTCACATCTCATGTCAGAGGCAAGTTTTAGAAGAGCCTGACTTCATCTCAGAGACCAACAGAAGAATCTGATGAAAAGAGATGAAAAAACAATCTCTTTTCCTTCTTTGCAGAGGCAGGGAACTCTGGAAGCAGGGCATTGCATGTATTCTCAGATGTAGTCGAAGGATTGGTTAGTTTGATGAATCACTTTTTTTTTCTCTTTTATCCTTTTTTGCCTCTCTAAGGAAGGAAAGAAGAAAGGAAATAATTGGAAATGAAGGTGATATAAAAAATAAAAGATATTGATAAAAACTTTCACGTTAAAGATTACAAAGTAAATTAAAGAAAAGCTGACAATCAAAGACATGAATCAGTGTGAAAAGATGTCATAATAAAGTAGGTACCACTTTATAAGGCCCAGAGATCTGGATGGCTCTTTTAGGAAAGGGTCATAGGATTAAGAGTGAGAGAGAGACAGAGACAGTGAGAAAGACAGAGAGACAGAGACAGAGAGATTAAGATTGATTTAGCTTTGACATAAGAAGCCAGAGCTCTGAGGTCCCTTCCAGTTCAAAACCGCTCTACTACTGGCATTCAGTACTGGTGGTTGCCAGTTTCTAGGTAGGCTTCCCTAATGAAGAAGTTGTTTTTTTCCCTATGTGCAATAAGAAGACCAACTTCTTGTTACTTCTCTACAGAAAGACTATATTAAGATAGTTTTCCATGTAATTATAACCTATACAAATTCCAGGTGCTGAGAAAACCACACAAGTCAGTCACTGAAGAATTCGTAAGAAAATTTAACCTTGAAATTCTGCAAATATGAGTCTTACGCTAATGTTTAAATAACTTACATGCTACAAGTTCAGGATTTCTTTGATCAGACTGTTATATAATGAAAAGAGATCTTTATTTTTTCCTATATATAGTTGGAGAGCAAAAGTAATTGATAAATTAAAAAAATTATTTCTAGTTTACACTTATATGGCACAATACAGGTCACACTTTCACACATACACACACTTAGGGCAGCTAAGTGGAACAGTGGATAGAGTGCCAGGTCTGGAGACAGAAAGACTCCTGTTCCTGAGTTCAACTCTGGCCTCAGACACTTACTAGCTATGTGACCTTGGGCAAGTCACTTAACCTTGTTTGCCTCAGTTTTCTCATTTGTAAAATGAGCTGGAGAAGGAAATGGCAAACTACTCTAGTATCTTTGCCAAGAAAACCCCAAATGGGATCATGAGGAGTTGGACACAACTGAAAACAACTGAACAACAAACACCTGTGTCATGTAGCCAAGACAAGTAATATGCCAGCTTACAGATGAGAAAATTAGTGCTTAAAGTTGCAAACTGTCTTTCAATGCCAAGCTCACTATCCCAGGCTAACTGTATTTAAGAATGGCATAATACAATTTGTTACTTAACCTGATTAGTTCTGTATGTCATCATTTCCAGCGTCCTTTGAAATGGAAACCAGAAATTCACTTGTATACCACTTCTGGATTCTGAAGACTCCGGGGAGATAGGTTTTACAAACAGCCTTAAAATAAAATAGTGGTAAAGTAGTAAATAAATTTGTTGAAATGCCCTAATCTTTTAACTGGAGGAGTTAAGGCCCAAGGGTTACATGTGGCTTAACACTCCCCAGATTAAAATACAATTGGGAAATATTGAACAATGGAATAAAAATACAATAAAACATGGTTTCCTAAGTCAATATGCAGCCTGCAGGGATTCTTTTAGACAGATCAGTGGCCCCATTTCTGAGTTCAGCTCCAATGATCAATACTACCAGACTTTTCCAGACAGAAATTAGTGGTTAAGGTTCTTAAAGAAATAAGGTTGTGGAGCCTTTGGGAGCTCTGGGATGCTGCTTACAATTCTTCCCTTGAATTTCATCTTCTATGCACTGAGCAGACTCTGCACTGAAATCCATAATTTCTTTCAAAAGTTTCCAAATTTAAAAAGAAACATAAATAATTGTACTGTATAAGGCAATTGGAATCAATATGTATACTGTCTGAAGCTTTCAGTATCACCTTTGACTTTTTTGTATGGGAAGAAGATGCAATCTTAGAATTAATCATTAAAACTAGGAAATAATTGAAAGATGAGGATTAGATTTTAAAACTTGACTGTGTGAAGGGTCATTTGTAAATGATAAACTCTAACATATAGCTACATAGTTAAATCTTGCACTATACCCTTAAAACTGGCAGTATTGGCACATTACCTGTTTTCAAGAAGTAATCAAGTCTAATTTAAAATACAATTGCTGTTTGAATGTGAATTTCTGTTCTTTAATTTTGAAAAAGGCAGCACCATCTAGGTGATATTAGCCTTTTGTACTCCCTTGCTTACCTTTCCCAATGAATGTACTTACTAAGAAATAAATGAGAATACAGCAGTACTTTTTCCAGGTGCAGTCACTATTGTTTTTGCTTGTTTTCCTATGTTACAGAGGAGGATTCAATTCTGGGGTCGGTTGGGATCATATCCAGAAATAGCTATGATGTAAAAAAGGCATCAAAGCTTATTTTGAAGTAGATTGGTACATGGGAGGTGTGATAAAGTGTCCTAGGCTTGAATTTAAAAGATCTAAGACCAAGTCCCAGTTCTTTCACTACATGGGCTTAGTAGGCCAAGTCATTTAATCTCTTTCTTCATCTACAAAATAGGGATAGTAATACTCACATGAAGGTATTTTAAAAACTGCTACAAAAAGATGTCATTTTTGTTTAAAAACTGCCTAAGAAAAAAGTTGCAGTTCCTTTAAGATATAAAACCTGAACCTGTAAGATAAAAATGGGCTACCTCATCCTTCTGTCATCAAAATTCAATCCTGAGAAGAAGCTTGAATAGTAGTAGATTGGCGGTACTATCTAGTATCCCTCAAGATAATTTCAGAAGAGTAGCTGAAGAGCAAGATCACATCCAAAAATGTTTTTTTTAAAGGATAGTTAGGCTCAACACATATCATCCTTTACACGTCAAATGAAACAAACCACTGCCCATCATGTGCCCAGGAAAATCACTGCATCAGAGGCTATCCATAAGCATTTATTAAGCACCTCCTGTATACCAGTCATTAGGGATACAAGGACAAAAATGACATCCTTCCTGCCCTCAAGGGGTCCACAGTCTATAAGCCATATGGTGTAGTGGACTTGGAAATCAAAAAAACCTGGGTTTGAATTCTGGTTCTGACATTAACCAGGTGCATGATCTAGCTTCAATTTCCCCTCCTACAAAACAAGGAAAATACTACTTAGTTTAGAAAGTTTATTGTAAAGGAAAGCACTTTGGTAAACTTATGTAAGGACTTATATAAATGTGACCTACTATAGTATGTTTGCTTCAACTTCTTAGAATCATTTCTGATGAACAAGAGTGCAAATATCATAGCATTTATGATTTATTATGCATAATCTACTTGCTTAGACTGTTAAAATGCATGGCGAAACCTATGGAAAATTTAACTATGTATGCTAAAGTTCATATTAATCAACATTGTTAAGTGCCTATTACATGCCATTTATATCTCCACTGGGTGCATAAATTAGTAAATTCCTTCCTTGAGGGGTACTGATCAATTCAGGAAACAGATGATGGAAACACAATGGGATTTGGAGTCAGACAACCAGGGTTCTAATCCCAGTTCTGCTGCTACATGGTCATATGACCTCAGCCAAATCCCTTGGCCTAATTCTCAGTCTCCTTATTTATAACACAAGAACAATAAGATCTGTACTGCCTACCTCACAGGACTGTTAGAGAATACAGTAAGATATCTGCCAAAGTGTTTTGTAATTGTAAAGTGCTATGTAAGTGTAAGCTATCATTATAATGATCATTACTATGAACATTAATAGCAAGGGGCTAGGAAAAAAATGAGAAACTTCTTTAAGCTCAAGAGAGAATACATTCCCAGCAATACACAGATAACACAGAAGAATCAAACATCACACACTGGATTTCAATCATTAACTTCCTTAATTTTCATAGATGATTTTATTCTTAATATAAAAAATTAGTTTGGCAGAATTTCCCAAGTATTGATATACATTGTTCACAACCAGCACATAAAAGTGTAGTATCGCACAAAAAGAATTTTTCAATGATTCCCTCAACTGTTTTTTTCAATTCTAATAATATTAAACTAAATACAGTAATAATTTAATACATCATGGTTAAATACACACAAAACTTACATATCCTGAGCTACAACAGTAGCATCTACATCACATGTGTGTAGATGCTGGCAGATAAAGAACAAAGTAAGTTCTTAAAACAAATTTTAAAGTACTGACATTTTTACTAAAATTCAGAGTGCATGCATTTGTATCCCTTTAAGTGTCTCAGAATTTAAATCCCTTCTGTGGAGATCAGTTCTCCTAAAACTCAATTAGTCTAGTAGGCCCAAAAGGCTTTTAATCAGAACAAAAAAAAGTTCTCAAAGTATCTTAAGTTTTGGAACTTTGAAAGGGGACAGGAACTTTCACTAAGAAAAAAAATTGCTTTCAATATCCAGTGAAAGAAATGAAAACAAATTATTTAAGAAATTAACCTTATGTCAAAAGAATATGGAACTCTTTCCCCCTTTTTCCTTAAGAGAAACTGACAACACTTTAAGAATATAGCCCAGCACAGAGCATGGAAACGTTTCCTGTGGCAATCCTAAAATCATTTGTCTGAGAGATTGAAAGTAGCCAGGAAATCTATTTTATGAATCACAAAACCAAAAAGGCTGATATTTAGATTTCACATATCAAACTGCTATAATATAAAACTTCGGTGGCAAAAATGAGACCAAAACATAAATACTACTTAGTTTAAATTGTCTTTATCACCTCAAAAAGACAAGATGATCTGCATGGTTTGCAGGTATTTTAGCTTCTTCCATGCTGTCATTAAAAGCAATGAGCAATTTCAAGTATAACAAAGAGAGGTGGGCAATTCAATACCTAAATATCACTTTTAGAATTCACAAAGTCAAAGTAAAGGCAGCAATGAAGAGTTACTCCATTTCCCATTTATAGCATCAACTGGATAAAGGTAATAAGATGATTGTAAGAAGTACTTAACTTATATCAGGACCTTTCATTTTTGGCAAGGTGAAAATTACATAGTTCTAGTATGCACACACTTGTCCTAAAAGATAGGGGAACTTCGGAGAACATAAAAGATGTCAGGATCCATAGTTCGCTTCATCAAATGCTTTTCTAGCCCGCTTCAGTTCTTCATTCATAGTAAGCAAGTCTTTAACTCTGGCAAACTTCCTCGGGTCCTTTCGAATCAAGAACACAATATCTTCAACCTGCACTCGACCTTGTCGTCCAATAGACATCGCTTTGTGAGTCTACCATGAAGATATGAAGAAACACAATGAGTTCAATTATTTGAAAAATTTTCCCTTAAATTATCATTCCATCTCTCCCATCTATTTCCTACAATCAGGTCAAACAACTTACTTCTAAAAAAGAGAGATCATTTTAAAAACTTTATACAAATGTTAACCATTTCCTAGATTGTTAGGATACAACCTGAAAGATATCAGATCAGCACTATCAATCCATAATATAGGTGGATAAGAAAAATAGCTGTCTACTTGGGGGCTGTTCAGCATCAATTATTTTTTTTTTAAATGTTACTTCATTTGTTCTCTCCAGATAAGCTGTTTTCTCCTTCCTTCCTAAATTCTATTTTATATTTTTCATCTTCCATATCCCACCCAGTTCTTGCAGGTTCCTGCTCTTTTTTTTGGGGGGGGGGGAAGAATGTAGTTTTCAATTTCTAAAAAAAGGAAGGAAGTAGATTCAGTACCTTTATGTCTCTTTAGATATTGAGCTAATGAAAAAAACACACAGTGGTATGCAAATGTAAGCACAGCTTTCCCACTTTCACCAATCATTTAAGGGGGAAATGGACCACTTTAGTACAGACTATTTTTCAAGCTCTGTGCTTTCTGAATATTGTCCTTCATTCACGGTGTAGTAGAAAGAGTACTGGACATCACTTCAATGGGAAATCTGGGTTCAAATCCTGTGTCTGATAGTGGTTGTGTGACTGTAGCCAAGCCACTTAACCAAAATCTGTTTCCTTATCTGTAAAATGGGAATATTCGTAGTATCTGCAACATTGTTTATGAGGCTCAAATGAGACAAGAAATAAAGCATTTTAAAAATCTTAAAGAACTATATGTCATGGATTATTAATACTTGTATACATGTATTATTTATACAGTAACCTGTGTAAATAGGCTAATGTGTGAATAAAATGAGATAATGTATATGAAATTGCTTTACAGGCTTCAAAACCCAATAGAAACATAATGTGTTAAAAGTATCTAATTTATAAATAAAATTCCTCTCATGTTTATAAAGCACTTTCTTCACAGTAATCCTGTGAAGTAGATAACACTAATACCACTACACCCATTGTATAGATGAGAAAACCAAGGTACAGATAAATTAAGTGACTTGCCCAGTGTCATACAGTGTCAAAAAATAGGATTTGAGCCCACAACTCTTGACTTTAAATGCTTTTAAAATTATGTCACACTGTCTCTGATAAACCAATGGAACAGGGATTCTAAACCTGGGGTCCAGGTATCCCCAAGAAGACTTATGGAGAAACTTCAGGGAATCTATGAACTTGGAAAGGTAAAAAAAAAATTGCATCTTTAGTTTCACTAATCTTTAATTACAATTTAGCATTTCTTTCAATTATTTTAAAACATGATTCCGAGAAGAGGCACATAGGCTTTACCCAACTGACAGAGGCATCCGGGAAAGAGGAAAGGTGAAGAAGGTTCTGGCACTAAGAAGGTTCTGGGAATGAGCATCAGGTGTTTCAGGATGGCTAGTTCAAAGATAAGTAACACAGATGCCAAAAGTAAGAACAGCTTTTAGCTCTGTTCTATCATATTTATTGGTTAGCTATACACAATTCTCTAAACTAAAAGAAAACTGTCAGAAGTTCCTTAGATTACACTCCTTTCTTTAATGCTTTATAGTGACTTGCAATAGTAGACCTTCAAAAACTTCTATTGTATAGAGAGTTTTAGTCCCATTTAAAACCCAACATTTCAGGTTCATTTTTCAAATAATTAGCTAAATGACTATTAAAAATACCTTACCATTTCAGTGATGAATTCTATGACGAGGTCTTCCAGAATATCCACTGACTCAGTGTAAGGATTTTGGTCATCACCAAAGCCATACATCATACATCTTACTGTGAAAGGGTAAAGTATCAATAAATTTATTTGAATACATAACAGCCTTTTATTAGAGTATGTAGGCACTCTTCAAACAAACTGCCTTCCAAGTTCCATATCATGTAATTACTGATATAACCTCATAGGATTTATAGTTGGAATAGACCTTCAAAACCACCTAGTTCAACCCTCAGTTTCCAGATGAGGAAACTGAGACCAAGGGAAGTTAAGTGACCAGCTCAAGTAAGTAGGAGAGCCAGGATTCAAATCCAGTAGTTTCCACTGTTCCGCAGTACCTTCTCTCAATAAACACAGGACACAGTTTTCCTAAAATATATTTTAGGTTCCTCTACAGATACCTCTCTGTGATGTGGAAGTGACTCCAAGTCTTCAAAGGCTAAGCCAGCAAAATACAAGCTTTGGTAAGCTTTTACTGTGTGAAGAAAGCTACAAGGATGGTCACAGCAACAGACTGCTTCTGTTCCGAGGACCAGCCTGGTTAAGTATGGAGAGGCTCTTCAACGGTAAGATTTGGCTATGAATTCTTTAGTCACAACAAAGAAAAGTTTTAAATGGCCCTCAGTTCTAAAGAAGTCCTTTCTGATTCTTCAGTGACAGCAACAAAAAGTCAGAAAAAAAGGGAGGGGGTGCCAAGAATCAATCTTTAGACCATCTATAAACATTAACTTCTTTTCTGGTAATCTTAAGTATGAGATCACTGTACAGTGAACAAGTTGAAACAGCACAAAAGGAAGCTGTAGGAGAGGCAAATACAGGAAATGGTAGTCAATCTTATAGAGTATCCAAAAGTAACACAAAATATCATATCCTAGGACACTTGATTATCATGTGTTGCAAATTAGATTAGCTTATGTGGGTGGTTTCAACATGAAGATGGGCATGGTAGAAGATAATGAAAAAAATGTTGGAAAACATTTCAAGAGTAAGAAATAAGTATGGTCAAAGGCTAGTCAAAACCTACACTGAAGACTCATGCTAACATATCTTGAATACTTTCTTTAGGAAGAAAGCCAGACAATGCTAGAAATTGTGAGCACCAAAAATTTTTTTAAAAACACTAATTTTTATTATGCTAATAGAAAGGAAAAAGCTGGCTACCAACATGGGAATCATTACCACTCCACTTGTTTGAGGGGGAAAAAAATCACAAATCAGAAGAATAAAATGATATGGTGTGAAATTGAGGGCAATTCCAACCTGATCTTTCAAAGTGTGCTATTGGTGCTATAAAGCAGTAAAATGAATAGAAGTGTACCATCACTGACTATCATCATTTCCTGAGCAAATTTAACTAATGTCTAAGTCAATTGCCACAGGAATAGCAAAGCAGCCTAGAACCTGTGACATCCTACAATAACATGATCTCACTCCATGGTGCAGCCAAAGGCAGCACAGGTTTATAATAGAAGCTTGTTTGTAAGATTCCACAGAAAATAGTAGGAGATTATGAGCAACATTGTCTCATAAAACAGTGAGAAATAGTGGGGAGAAAAATATGTAAGGTCTAAGCCAGATCATCTTTTTTTTTGTTTGTTTGTTCTTTTTTTTTGCTTTTTGGTGAGGCAACTGGGGTTAAGTGACTTGCCCAGGGTCACACAGCTAGTAAATGTCAAGTGACTGAGGCTGGATTTTAACTCTGGTCCTCCTGATTCCAAGGCCAGAGCTCTATCCACTGTACCACCTAGCTGCCTGGAGGCCAGACCATTTTGAAATAATCTACGGATGAAACTGGAAGGCCAACAAATAGGAAGACAAAATTAACTCTGCAAAAATTTCTAAAACAAATTCTTTCTCCCATCAATGACAGCAGAGCCACCACAAGCACACTAAAGCCTCTACCCAAAGAAGTAGAAACAGCACATACAAAACAAAAAGTAGTTAAACTCCATCAAATTAGCACAAAGGAGTTCTATGGTATAAATGATACAATGATATCCAAGGGCGATGAGAGATCAATTCTCAAGATATCTTAAAGATTAAAAACTATCATCAAACCCTTGGAAGAACTCTTGGAACTAATAACAAAAAAAGAAAGTCAAGAAAATACCCTTAACTACTGAGCCATACACCTACTTTCCCATCTCTACACAATCTTGACAAGAATAATCTACATGTATATTGAGGAGATCCTTGATGAAGGTATGATTAAGGAACAGGCTTTTGCAGCAGATCATATCTTTCCAACAAAAAAAAACTGATAGGTTAGTGGTTATCAAATTTAATTCCCTACAGGCATATTGACTTAGAAACCACAAATTAATATTATCTATGTCACGCTGTAGTTTAATTTATTTTGTTAAACATTTTCCAAATAGATTTTAATCTAGCTAGAACTTGGGGAAGGCAGCAAGTTTGACACCGCTGATGTAGAGAATAAAAGAACCTACTGTGATTGTTTGTTGACTATTTCAAAACATCTGATTCAGCAAAGCAAAATGCTACCTTAAAGATCTTCCCCAAAGAAGTGTCCCCTACGCATGTCAAAATTGAACAAAATTGCTCAAAAGGTATAACAAAGATAACTTTGTTTGACAAATCTTTGGTTATAAATGTTAAGTGAGACATATGCTCACCAAGATATTTGCCAGCATCAGAATCCAAATAAAAGAGGGATTCTTCTTGATGAAGGTTTACTGGAGGATAAAAACAAGAATTACACAGAATGATGTATAGGTAGGCTTCAATCTTCACCTTTGGAGGGAGTATCTACACTGATTAGACAACCACTGTTGGACTGAGGAAGTATTTTAAGTTTGTGCCCATTTACATTTTGTGGTTTGTCATCCATACTGAGACAGAACAGTGTCTAACCTGTTTTTAAACGATATAAAGAAAGAGATTTTGTTTAATTTCTGTATAATTGGTTTCAAGCATTATATAGGCAAACAAAGGGGAACCCAAAGACATTCCTGTATCTTCTCTGCTGACACTTAAAACAGGGGTGGGGAACCTGTGGCCTCAGGCCACATGTGGCCCTCTAGGTCCTCAAGTGCAGCCCTTTGACCAAATCCAAACTTCACAGAACAAATCCCCTTAACAAAATGATTTATTCTGTAAAAGTTGGACTCAGTACAACTTGGGCCGAACCAAAGGACCTAGAAGGACATGTGGCCTCGAGGCTGAAGGTTCCCCACCCCTAGCACAGACCCTGCTGCTGCCTGGAATTTTCCCCTTTATTCTTTCTCAGGCTGACACCTTTCCCAATGTGAGCCTTTCCTGGCTATCTTAACACTGTCCCATAGCAGGCATGAAGGTCAAGGTAGGGGAGAGGTATTTCCTGACATCCAAAGCTTGAATTCTAAATGCTTTCTCATAGAAGTATTATTATCAATGATGGCTAAGTTGCCATCACTGAGGTACACTATGGGCAAGACAACTTATGATTTTGTTGTGGGTGAATTATAAACCTACAATTAAGAACATAGTTGAGAGTTGCTATGGCTGAAAAAATTAATCACCTTGTGGACAATCTGGTGATCAGCTTCTCCAAACCTACCTGGGCTGGTCTTTAAATAACAGACATACAATCTATTTTCAGACCTGCATAAAAAGGCTTTGTAGCTTGCTAAGACCTGCCAGAGATTACAGTCCATTGGCATAGCTTTTAAGAAGTGAGGATCACCACCATACAATAATGTGGCATCAGAGCAAGATATTAGTAGAGTACATTACAGGTCAAACAGGTTTTTATAGATGGCTTGAGACCTATAAATCACTATTTATAGCATAACTTCTAAGGAAAGATGCTTTTTGTTCCCAGCAACAAACAATTAGTAACTTTTTAAAACACAACCCATTTTTAATTTAAGGAATGCCTATATATGTTCATCTTCAATGCATGACATCCATAATCAAAATGGTCCTAAATATAATACTTACATTCTTTAGAGAAAAGTCTTTTCCTTTTACCCTGTCCACCATCTGCTCCTCCTCCCACATCTTCATTATCTTCCTCAAACTAGAAAAATTGAAAGAATTGAGAAAAAGAAGACTTTTTAGTGTTTAATAAAAACTTACTTTCAAAAATGAACTAAAATTGGAAGGCACCTAAAAGGTCACCGATGCAATAACCATTTCTGTATCCATACAGAAATCTCTTTACAACACAGAACTCTAAAATGTTGGAACTAAAATGGACCTTAATTAGGTGAACAAATGATTTATCCAGTTGCTGCTTGTGAAGGGAAGGGAAGGGAAGATTAGAATGTAATAAGGCTATTCGTTTTCCTGTTGAATAGTTAAAAGTATTTTGCAACAATAAGGAAAAAATGATGTACATATAATGCTATATAAATAGCTAAAACATATAAAACATATGTGCTTTATATACATTAGCTAATGTAGGGAGATAAAGGATTTGGACCTGTGACTTCATCTGTGCAAGTAATTCTTGGTGTAGAGACTTATTACTAAAGTAGGTCAGCAACTTATCTCATGTAACTTATTGAATACAGAACTGGCTGGGGTATTGAGAGGTTAAATGACTTGACCATGGTCACAGCCAGTATGTAGTCTTCCTGACTCCAAAGCCATGTACTTAAGAAAAAAAATTTTTTTTTAATTTGTCTCTTAACTTTTGAGTGCCTTTCAAATATCTGAAAAGAGCTATCAATGTCTTTCCCTAGTTTTCCCTAAGCAAAGCGGACCAACTTCTTTTAACCTTTCCTTTCATGGCAGGGATGTACTGAAAAGTACAATGGGCTTGGGAACCACAAAACTCAGGTCTGAATCCTGGCTCTGCCATTTACTGTGTGATCTTAAGCAAGCCTTTCATCCCTAAAATAAGAGTACCAGATGATATCTAATTTTATGCCAACACTTCCAAACCTCTCATTATTCTTATCTCTTTCATCTAGATGAATTCCCATCTGTTGATGTCCCTCTTAAAATAATGTGGTTGGAACTATGATATTCTAGTACCAATATCATCTTCTGTCATCTAGATATATTCCATGCAATTTTAGAAGTCAATCAGTCCTCTGAAATCATCTAGTGAGTTCTAGTGCAATACTTTAATTTTGTAAAGGATGAAACTGAGACCTTGATACGTTAAGTGAATCTTTCAAGGCCACAGAGGGGAACCCGGATCAGAAGAGAGGTCTCCTGATTCCCACGGATTTAAACACAGAAAACACATTTAGTGCCATCTCCGAATAATGAATATACACAGAGGCTTTTTAAGATTACAAGGTTTTTTTCCTTCACAATGATCCTGTCTGAGAGTTATCAAACAGCAAATATTCATCATATGGCCTAATACATGCTAGGAGCTGTGCATGATGCTGGGGATATGAAAGCAAAAATGAAACGGTCTCTACTCTCAAGTAATTTAGGTTCTATGGGGGATAGATAACTTACATATACAAGCATATTCAAAATATAGAAAAAATGCGGAACACTAGCAGGGGATCAAGAAAAACTTTAACGAGGAGGTGGCTGTTTTAAGAAAAGTAAGCAGCGTTTAAGTATCACTTTTCCCATTATGTATAGAAGTAAATGAAGCCCATAGGAGTTACAAGAGACTTGCCCAAAATCACAGTAGCGGGACCGTGCCCTTGGACTCCAAAAATACAGTGCTTTTTCGACGACATGAGATTAAAACCATCGGGGTTTTCGGCTGCCTAGTGCCAGATTTGTGGGGAATGTTGAGCAGACACCCCTGACTGCTTGGGGCATTTCGAGGTGTCCGTCCCTCGTCCCCATGAGCCCGTTTCTACTCTCCCCAGACAAAACCGGAGGGAGAAGGGGTAATGTGGAAGCCGGGCGGAGAGAAGGCGGACAGGGCAGAGAGAAGCGACCGTAAGTCCCCGGGGCTCCCCGGCCTTGGGCCTCACGACGCTCCCGCCCGCACACGCTTCCAGCCCTTACTACTCGCTCCTACGGGGAAGAGGAGAGGAGGTGAGGAATGGAGGCCGGGGAGGACTGAGCGGCTCACTCACAGTGGGATCCTCCTCCTCATCAGCCATCCCGTCCCTGATTCCAACCGGCAAAGATTTCGCTCTCCGGGGAGGGCCAGGACAAATCTTCCGCTTCCCTACTTCCGCTCCCTCACTTCCTGCCACGCCCCACGTCCGACCCGAATCATCTAGTCGAACTGCGCAGCCGCGCCTCCTGGTCCGGGAAGGCAAGCGCCCGGCGGAAGTAGGAAGCACGGCTTCACACGCACGCGTACGCATGCCTGGGTCTCTGATTCGTCAGAGACGAATGGGGAGGGGCTTAAGCTAGTGACCCCTCAGTCATTTGGAAAAAATGGATCAATCGATCAGTCAATCGTTGATTAAACTCTACTCTGCTAAGGGGCTGCGGGGGTGCAAATATAAAAATAAGGGAATGCCTGCTTTCCAGAGTTTAGTGACATGCAGCAGGAAATCTAGAGGAAGGATCCACTGAGACAATCTTGAAAGCCACCTGTCAATACACACAAAGTGGGACATTACCTCCAGGGGTTCATTGGATAGTGGAAAGATCTCTGGCCTTGGGTTACAGCATAATAATGGGTGTATGGGATGCTCAGGAAGGACTAGTTCATCCACCTTTGGTGTCTGCCTTTCACCCAACTCTCACCTTTGGCCCTGAGAAGCTGTAGTATGAGCAGCACCTGTTCAGGGTAACTGACAGGCCTCGAACCCCTCAGTGAGTTAGGGGAAGTTCTGCTCCAAGCATGTGAAGACTTGTGCCGGTGAAATGGGCAAATAAGAATAATTTGTTCCAACTATCAGGAAGGAGGCTGAAGCAGATGCTGTGGAGCACTTAGAGCTTGGTTAGACATCAAAGATGCCAAAGTCATCCACTGCATCCCAGGCCATCACCAGTCATCCTGACTTTTGTCTTGCAACTGGATTTCGATGACTTTGGAAGAGAGAGTGAGGCTGACGACTTTGTGCAACTCTGCCTCACTTACATCCAATCTACTGATAAATCAAGACAGCACAAGTGACCAAATAATCCCATGATGCCATTGTTCTTCTTTGAAAGAGAAGGATGAATAACGATAACAGGGATTCACACAAATAACTACGAAACTGGCAAATGCAAATAAGAATATTAGGAGTACCTGGAGAATTTTGAGGGGAGAGAAGTCACTTTCAGACTGAGAGATAACGGCTACCACTGGAAAGTAGTTCATGCCAGTGATAGCTATGATTTCTGCAGCTTGAAAAAAAAATGAAAAGTAAAGACTTGTTTTGGTTTGTTTTGAGAAAGGTAATTTGGGATTGGATTTTTTTTATCTGACTGAGAGAAGGATTGTAGAGGGGCTTCAACATCCCCATCAAGAAAGGTCCAATATCTGTGTGACCCAGGGCAAGTCACTCAACCCTGATCACCTCACCAAAAAAGCAAAAACAAAAAACAGAAAAAGGTCCAATATGAACCTAGAGAAGTTCTTTACCTCTTTGTCCTATGTAGGTGGTATAGTGCATAGAGTGCAAGACTTGGAGTCAGGGAGAACAGAGTTTGAATGCTCCCTTAAATACTTAAGTTGTGAGACACTGGGAAAGCTACTTGCCTTCTCTGTACCTCAGTTTCTTCATCTGTAAAATAGCATCTACTTTCCATTGCTATTGTGAGGATAAAATAAGATAATATATGTGAAATACTTTGCAAACCTTAAAGCACTATATAAATTCTATCATCATTATTTCCCTGAAAGTTAAAGCTTCTGCTTATATTCCTAATTTTCTGTGTGTGTGTGTGTGTGTTCATGTGTCTTTTACCTCTTATGTTGTTCTTCAGTCATTTCAATCATATCTTGAGTCTTTGTGACCCAATTTGGAGTTTTCTTGGCAAAGATAGTGGAGCGGTTTGCCATTTCCTTCTCCAGCTCATTTTACAGATAAAGAAACTGAGGCAAATGAGGTAAAGTGACTTGCTCAGAGTCACACAGTTCTCAAGTTTCTGACACCAGATTTGAACTCAGGAAGATGAGTCTTCCTGACTTCAGGCCGGGTACTCTATCCACTTCACCACCTGGACGTCCACTTCTTATGTGTCTTAGTTCTAGCCTTTTGGTCCTTTAAGAAGTTATATAACTATTTTAACATAAGAGATACAATTATTTTAATATAAATATTACTTTTATATATTTATAATAGGAGAGGCAGTACAACATAGTGGAGAAAGTGCTGGCCTAGAGTTCAGGATGATGAATCAAATTCCCCTGACATATACTGACTCGGTAACCTCTCAGTGTCCCAGGCTACTCTCTAAGATTATAAATTGAAGAATAGTTGCTTGTCTAAATTGAAAGAGGGAGTTTCTTCACTAAGATCTCCCTACACTGTCAGATGAAATCATATGTCTGGCCCCAAAAAAGCATATATATCTATCTGTATAATGAATGTATATGAATTGCTGTCAGAAAGTCTAAAAGTTAATGTCTTCATGCAAAGTCATTATCTGATTGAGCTAATTACAATTTTACATCAAATGATCATTGTATATTTTTAAGAGGACATCCTGAAAATGTCCAAATGGAAGGATTCTTTTCTAGATGGCAAATTCTTCCAGGTGCTTGTGTTTGCAAATGACAGTTCAATTGTTTTAGGACCCAAATATTGCCAAGCCTTTCCAGTGGGATCCATAAACTGCTCAAAAGAGATTGACCTAGCAATTTCCATGGGAAAAACTAAATGAGTAAATGAATGAAAAAGCATTTATTGAAGCACTTACTATGTGCTAAGCACAATTGAGCACCGGGGATACAAACAGAAAAGTTAGTCCCTTTTCTCATAAAGCTTACCTTCTAATGGGGGAAAAAACACATATAGGTTTCAGCTATAAGTCAGATGGAAAGAATAGTCTTTTTTTTTTTTTTAGGCAATTAGGGTTAAGTGACTTGACCAGGGTCACACAGCTAGTAAGTGTCAAGTATTTGGTCTAAGGCTGGATTTGAACTCAGGTCCTCCTGACTTCAGGGCCAGTGTTCTATCTACTGCGCCACCTAGCTGCCCTAAAAGACCCAGTAGTCTTTAAGGTGCAGTGGCCAATAGATGTAACATGTCTTTAATGCTATTTTCATTAATCAAACTATCTTTGTTTCTAATAGTGAACCATTGGACGGTGCAAAGGACTTCAGTGGCAAGACGTCGTTTTCCAGGTCTGCAGTAGCTGTGGATGTAGCACCTGCAGAGGCAGATGCCAAGTTTCGTCTGTACAAGTACTGCTTTCCTGGGCAATGACTATAGCAGTCCAGTTGGAGGCAGGATTGATTGTGGTGGGGGGGGGGGGTGGAGGGAGATGCTATTGCAGGGGATCCTGGAACTTACTTCTGTACCAGTAGTGGTTGTTTGGCAGTTGGTAGGGGAATGGCAGAGAGATTGACCCTTTTTTTTAAGGAACTGTCTCCACTGGAATCTGACAGAAGATGGTAGCTGAGGTACCAGTGATGGTGATGTGCTGACCAATCTGGCACATACTACTTCCTACCTACCTCAGAGTACATTGCTGCCTCAGCTAGGCTGGCTTTACTGTCAGTGGCAGTGGGTTGGCATTAATGGTGGTGATTTTGGAAGTTATATTGGACCCCTTCTCCATAAGGGTTGCTCCCCTGGATGATGGTGGCAGAGGCCAGCCTGGAAGCAGGGATACTAGGGGAAACTATTGTCACATAATGTGACATAGAGTTGATGAATGGCCCATCATATAGAGAGATAATAAACCGGACTCATAATTAAGAAGTACAGTCTGGATTGCGAATTGGTAAAGTGCTTTCAATTCTCTCAAATTGCTTCCCCAAACACATATATACACTCTTTTTACATCAACATTCTTCTAGTAATGCTGTATAGTTTCAAATGACAGAACATAACTACAGTCTCTGAGGAAACAAAGTTATAGGTGACCCAAAGGGCAAAGGATAAGCAGGATTGGTGTAAGTAGTCTCTAGCATACTTATCACCAGTGATGACTTTCAAGTAACAAGTGATGTAAAGAACATCATCTGTGGGTCAATTATGGAACCAGAATGAGAGATGAAGGGTAGTGGATTAACAGCCCAAATGCTTCACTGGCTCCCACTGAATGGTAAAAGATTTAGCATTTAGACCACCAGCACATTAAGTGGAGGTAGAGTTTGGCTATCAGAAGATAGAGTTTTGCTTCTATGGAGGGCATCATCACATGAAAATCACAGATCCACTAGAATACAACAACCCTACAGGTTATTGTTATGCACACTTTCCAGGTGAAGAAACTGAGGCTTCAGAGTGCTGAAGGATCTTGCCCATAGTCACATAGCTGGCAATTGTCACAGGCAGGATTCAAGTCCAGATTTTCCTGAATTTCCAAAGTTAGTATTCTATTGACAGTGTCCAGTGCCACCTAGGCCTTGTGCAGAAGATGGTGTTGGTACCTTGAAGGAAGCTAGGAATTTTAATCAATTAATAAGCATTTATTAAGCCTTCACTATGTGCCAGGTACTGTACTAATCACTGGGGGATACAAAGACAAGGAAAAACATCAATGCCCCTCAAGGAGCTTATATTCTAGTGGGTAAGACAAGATGTATATAGATACATACAAAATATAGAGAGAGGGGCAGCTAGGTGGCACAATGGATAAAGCTCTGGCCCTGCAGTCAGGAGGACCTGAGTTCAAATCTGGCTTCAGACACTTGACGTTTACTAACAGTGTAACCCTGGGCAAGTCACTTAATCCCGATTGCTTCACAAAAAAAAAAAAAAGAAAGAAAGAGAGAAAGAAAAAACACCAAAATATAGAGAGAGCGGTTGAAAGATAATCTTAGAAGGAAAATTTCTAGTAGCTGGGGAGGGGGGGGGACTGGGAAAGTCCTACTACCTAAGATGATATTTGAGCTGAGTCTCAGAGAAAGCCAGGGAAACTAAGGCCGAGGTGAGGAGGGATAGCAGGCATTCTAGGAATGGAGGATGGCCATTGCAGACATGTAGTCAGGAGCTGGAACGTGATATGAGGATGTAAAAAGAATAGCGAGTGGGCCAACATAGCCAGATTTTAGAGGATATGAAGAGGAGTGAGGTATAAGAAGACTGGAATGATAGGAAGGGGTCAGGTTATAAAGAGCTTTAAAG